CGCTTCCCATTGAATTTTTGGAAAATTTTGATACCATTGTTAGTTTTTCAATATATGCGTAGAAACTCTTGGCTTATTTTAAAAGTACGCAGTAACAAAAGAGCTTGAAGAGATAATTACAAAACTCAAGAGTTCCTCACAAGCGCTTTCACAGGTGCCACACAAGTGCATTCAAGTGCAATTCATCCTATACATTGTGCTTATTTATAAGTCCTTACAATAGTTATCAAACTACCTACAAACAGGTTGCAGACTATATGATATAACTTCTTCATATAACTCTCCACAACATATAACTTCTTATTAGATAACTACTCACTAAGATAACTCATAACTACTCACAACTCCTAACTTCCCACAAATCCATTAGAGAGAGAGATGAGAAAAACACGTACCAAAACTCCTATATTTCGTATCACAACATTTTGCATCACATTTTCAACAAACGAGTTATCTATTGACTCTTTGTAAATTTCAATATATAAGTATTTTTAGGACTCCAAATTTTGGGATTCATTCTCTTACACTTAGCTACCAACTTCAAATAAAAAACAGAAATAATGAAAATTGTAAATGCACTCTCTGAGAGCCTGCAAGGCTTACGTCTTACAATGAAACAGCCCAATTTTAGATAGTTAGATCTAAGTGCCCAATAACTCGAAATTCAATACGTGAATCTAAAAAATTTGTCCACAAACTCCTAAATAATTTTTTTTCCACAGTAGAGAGAAATGGACATTAGGTTTCCTTTTGAGCAATGGACCACTAGTGTGCAGTACCTTTTTCTATTTTTCTTAGCTTTTATTTTTTATTGAAGTATAAATTAAGATCATTTCCCGAGAAAGATCATTTCCCGAGAAAGTTAGCTATTATATGTGAGATCGGGCAACTCCCATTAACCTTCCCCAAAATCTTTTCAAACAAAACATTCAAATTCTAGGGCACAACTTTAATGGCTCAATTTCATATTTGACGATTAAAAGTGATTTTGATATTTTTTTATATGAAAGCTATTTGGTCCCGAGTATTCAATCTAATAAAAAAAAATACAATAAAAATAAACTTACAATGTAACTAAAACTTGTAGTTTGCTTCATGGGAATAAAAGACGTCTTTTCAAAGGTCCTTTTCGTGTTGTTATGAACTTTCCTTTTTTATTTCATTTCTTTTAGGAAAACTTACGTGTAGATATACTTTCAACTTGTTTATTCCACTATGGGTCACATTTTTGCAAAATTATGTGTAGACCACCTCCATTCTTTGGCCCGTTTTTTCTTTTCCCCAAAGTTGCCCACTTATCTGATATTTCCAATATCAAACATGGGAAAATCCCGCAAGTTTTTGGCCATTTATCGTAGTCGGAGCTTATCTGATATTAACAATACCAAACATCGTGGTTGCTCAATGTTGCTAATACCCGACAACAACTTATAAAAACTCAATGTTGCTAATAACCGACAACAACTTATAAAAACAATCCTCTTATTGAAGGCAAGTCTGACAATAGAAAAACCGTACAACCTTGCTATTGGTATTTTTTAATGCAGGACAAATCAACTTAGGAAAATACCAAACTCATTAATATAGTAGAAACTTAGGAGCTGAAAATTTAAAATAGAAAAGTAAATAATCAAATAAAATATAAAGCATAATCTATTGAAAAATAAACTACATTTAAATACAAATTAGAATAAATAAAATAAGAACTAAATAAAATATATTATGAAACAAATAAAATTAATTACCAAACATAAATTCTCTGGTACTAATTAAATAATAGGAATTTAAATGATGCTAAATACGTATAACAAGTCTGGTTTTTCTAATACCGGACAAATTAAAACATTGAGCCGTTTGGCATTAGCAACACCAAACAACCGCATTGTTTCGTGTTGCTAATATCGGACAAGCCCTACTAGGAGAAATGGTAAAAAACTTACATGATTTTCTACTAGTCCAGTATTTACATATCAAATAGGTAGGTAATAAAAAATAAAAATAAAAATAAAAAAAATAAAAAAAAAGGTCCTTATAGAAATGGCCTCCGCATAATTTTTATAAAACCCATACCATAATAAACGCATTAAAAGGAGACGGCTGTCCGTACATAAATTTTCCTTTCTTTTCTATAACAGTGGTACCTTACGACGAGCAAAATGTCTATAACAGTGGTACCTTACGACGAGCAAAATGTTTTTGGTCACAATGGGGTTATCAATTTTTGGTGTTACTCAAGAGTTGCAATTTCTTTGTCTAAATCTTCCTTTCATGAACTAAAATCTGAAAAGAGGTGAATGAAGAGTATCGTTCGTAAATGTATTCGTGCAAAGAGCACTAATCTTTTGTTATTAAGAGTCTTTTGGGAATGGTGTTGAGGTCATGGTAGCAGCACCATTGGAGTCTCAAATACTGTTTAGGTTTTTATTCTCACTTTCGCATTTGAAAACCACTAACTATTTCTCAAAAAAAATAGTTAAGGCATGTATTCTCACTAATCTACCCAAAAAAATGAGCACTAATATTTTCATCGTAAAGTAAATGGAAATCATCATTAGTAAATCATATGGTTCATCGTATCCTAAGCCCTGCTAGGGAATATACCCAATAAAATTATGTCCGAACAAACATTCGCATTATGTATGGCAAATTGTTTCATGCAAGGTGGTCGTATTATTTATGGAAAATTGTTTTTTGTTAGCTGAACCGCATTTCTACATATACTGTCTAGAAAATGTAAAGCATCCATCTTAAAGATGGATGCAAATAGGTGTTCCATCTAAAAATAATAGAAACTAACAGTCCAAATGTTTTTTTATTTGAATTGTTATTTCTAATTTTTAAAATTTATTTATTTTTTCACATTCATGATTTCCATATTAGAAATTACATGTACTAAAAAATTAAGTCTTAAAAATAAACTTATTAAAAGGGCCACATTTCTACGTATGTAAGCTTGGCTGCATGGAAACCCGATCCTTTATCATATAACAAGACAAGAAGTTGATGGTAGGTGGTAGAGGCAGCTACCAGCTTTTTTGAAAAGAAGCGATGGGCACACCTCACCAACCCTTGCTACCCCAATCCTTAACCACATAAGTGAGCTTCCGTGTAGACGGTCATGATGTTGCGTGAGCCTTGCCGGATCCCTAGGATCCAATTGGTGAGATTGTTTATCGGTGTTTTGGCGAGTTTGGTTCAATAAAAAATTAAATTTAAATTGATATTTGACCTATTTAAGCTAATCAAACTAATTAAATTTTTTTTGCGGTAAGTTTAAACTAGTTAGTTTTAACTCATACAACCAACTGAATGAAATAAGACAAATCTTTTAATACATGTTCTATGTGTAAATTAATATATCTATCAAAAATATCAAAAACGGGGTTGAAACCCTTTACAACATCACTATAGGACTCAAAAGAGTACTAATTACAGAGCATGTGTTTCGATTTTTTATCAACAAAGTACGCCTTAAAGAAAATGTTGAGAGTTTCTAAATTATACCTATTTAGCATTGAGAAGCCCAATCAATTAGGCTACCAAAGAGGCCTTAATCAAATAATGGGGGTAAAATAACCCTAGTATCTTGAATTCTTCTTGCTTTCTAATGCCAAATAGGGGCAATTGGCGATTTTTAAACATTTTTTAGTGACAAATCTTATTCATATAGAAATTTTAAAGCATAGTCTCAAGCGTAGTCGTTTGCCATCTTTCGGCCCCTTTAGTGATAGCACAAGGGACCCTCATCTTTTTTGTTTTCCATATATCTATTTGTATCTCTATTTAATTAAAATTTAGTAAACAAATTATCTAGACTATCCATTTTCAAGATTTTCATATTTTTATAGAACTACTTGATTTTAAGCATTTAGGGAATTTATAAAATCACATTATCTAGACCGTCTATTTTTAAGATTTTCATATGTTTATAGATCTACTTGATTTTAATATTTTTGAAATTTAAAAATTTTATAATTAAATATGAAATTAGATTTTCAGATAATCCTACAAAAAATTACACTAAATTGCATGTTATGATGAAATTTGGAGGTGTGCCTCAATTGGATTGTTTAAAGTTACAACCTTATAAAAACCACACCCTTTCTAAAAATAGCTCATAAATTGGTTGGAAACTAATTGGAAGCTAACAAATCGTGGATCAATGACTCTGTAAAATCCGCAAGAATTCAAGAAAACAATGTTTCTCAACAATAACTCAAAATTTGAACTAAAGACCCAAACATAACAATAATTTATGGACTCTATGTAGATATCCTAATCTAATTCTAATATAATTAGAACTCCTAATCAAAATTAAATGCAAACCTGACACTTTGTGCTTAGTGAAATCATCATCATCATCATCATCATAGTTTTTTTTCAATTAATTGAGGTCGGCTATACGAATCTTGATTCGTCATTTTGCTCTATTTAAAGTCATACCCTCAGTGAGGCCATAAGCCCTCATATCTTTTCAAACTACTTCCGATCACATCCTTTTGAGATAAACTCCTCTTATAAATAGCCTTTAAAAAATTAGTCTGAATTTGTATAAGCCTAACCGTTCACTCAAATCATTTTTATAACCCCATTTTAAAAAGAGCAGCATAAGTTCTATGGCGTCCAAACTCCGCTAGCCCAACAAACCAGGCTGAAAAATGCCTAAATGCCTGAGAACATGCCTGAAATCTGTTCCCAATTGCCGACCTGCTCAAAATTCCTTCACATAATCATTGTCGTTAGATTCTGGGAAACTTTGAGCTAAGAAACAACATGATGCAATCGTGATTAATTCAAAATTTCTTCTCATTCAAAATTTTCACCAGAATTTCATTAGGAGGCCTTGAAACAAAACTTTCAATGATTTTAATTTTTCACAATTGATTTAATTTAAAATTCCAAATTAGCTATAATCAACCTAGTTCTTAATTCAAGTTTACCAATTGATTTCAAAACATTAATCTAACTCAACCTCATCTTAAATCCAACTCATCTAATTCTTATCAGGTAAAAAGGATTTATTCACATTTTCACCAAGTAGGAAATTTTCCATGAAATTCAAAAGATCTTGGAACAAAATTTCCACAACTCGAACTCATAACTGATTTTTGGTGTTTCAAGATCGACTCACATAAAATCAGCAAGCCGAACAGGGAATCAGTGAACCGACTCAAATTGTTGTGGTGAAATCAGCACCAGATTCCTGTTTCCTAAATTTAGCTTCAGACAATTGGTGTGATTAGTTTGGTGTCCAACCAGGAATGAGGATCCCCCTTCAGAATTTTATGGCCCTTACAAGTGGTTAATCTCTATATCCCTTACAACCTCCTCCTCCTTTGATTGAATGTGTTCTCCATAGCAGTAAGAGGCCAACCCCCACAAACATAAAACCAGGGCCAAGCCCTTTTCTCCACTAAACTTCTCATGGAAAAAGATGACTGCTAATACGCTGTTCAAAGGCAGCTGCACTGCCATAAGAATCCCATTGAGGAGAGAGGTGGTGTACAAGACGAAACCGAAACTTCCGATTAAGGAAACTTGCCACAAAATGCCGCTTGCCACCACTGTCACGTAGTACTTAAACTCTCCCAATCCAAATTCTTTTGCCTCCCTTGCAATAACCTGCAAGTAGTACTTAAACTCTCAAGTTGCAATTATTAGTTAATGGGGGTGGTTAGCATAAGATTGATTGTAAGGTGCACCCTCAAATTTTATCATAAGATATAATTTTGGTGTAAAAAATTATTAGGATGGCATGAGAATTTATTTTCATCTCTAATTACAAGATTTTAGACTACAAAAATCGTTCAAATCGATCTATAAGCACATTAAAATCTTAAAATGGACAGTTCAAATAATACATTGTAAGTTACACTATTTTTGGTACTCAAATTTTTTTTTTTTCATAGAGTACATCTCAATGTAGAGATGATCAATTCAAGGATTTTCTAACTTCAAAACCACTTTTTATGATGGAATTTTTAGTACACCTTAATTCTACATTTTAAGATTGCAACCTTCTATAAACTCTTTTCTTGGTTAATAGCTCATTGTTATGTACTAATAAAACATTTATCTAAAGACTAATACAATAAAAGGATATAAAATCAATATTATCATCATCATAATCATTATTATTAGGAAAAATTACGTATTAATCGGAAACTTTACTTCAATTATTGTTTGGCCCATATTTTTCGATACTTTATTTGGAGGTCCCCTGTTTTTTTATTACACAAACCAATGTTAGTACATCAGTTTCTTATTTTATTTGTTCTATTTTTGTTGTTTCTAGTGCAGTTCGATGCCCTCGATATCAGATTGATCTATTTCGAGATGGTCCACTATTGGACCATCCTATTTTTCCATATGGTGGGTCTGAATGGAAAAGTTCAATGTCTTAAACACGAAACCATCTGTTTAAATATATAAATTAAAAAAAAAAAAAAAGAAAAAAAGAAGAAGAAGAAGTTGGTCTGATATTACTAATATTGAACTGCCCAATATTCTTTGTTTCCTGTATAGCTCTTGCTTTCGGACAATATAGTGTGATGCTCTTATTCATGTACAATCAGTTGTGTTCAGTTTTTAATTGATGCATACATGAGTTTACGATGCATGCCTCTGTGTCATGCACGTGTGATGATTTTTTCTGTGTGCATTTAGAGATGTTGGTTTTTAATTGATGTTTATGTGTCTTAAATATTAGATCACCGAATTCATACCCGAACGATAGAGCGGTCTGATATTTTCTACGTCGGGCAACCCAAACAAAAAAAAGGGATGATTTGATAACTGGGGCATCAGACTGGCCCAGAATCAATTTAAAAAAAAAAAACTAGTACCAAATATGGAACAAAACTGATAACGAGAGACCTCCATGTCAAATATAAAAAAGTATCATATTTATATATGGTCAAGTGTAGAATGAGACCATTTACCTTTTATACAAGGTATTACAATTCCTTACAACTATTTGATGTGAATTTTGATAACTTGGATGTGTCATAAAGTTTGAGAAAATTTCTTTTGAAGTTTGAGAGCTTGGTCAAAAGAATGATTGCAGCCACCCAACTTTACATCCAATGGTCGAGATTAATGTGACCGCATTGCATAAAAGGTAAAAAGAGAGTATAGAATGAGACCAGTTGCCTTTGATACAAGGTGGTCACATTAATCTTGACTATTGGATGTGCAATTGGGTGGCTACAATTATTGCATTGACCAAGATCAAACTTCAAAAGAAAATTTCTCGAACTTTGTACCATATCCAAATTATCAAATTTCACATCAAATAGTTGTAAGGAATTGTAACCACCTTGTATCAATGGTAAATGGTCTCATTGTATACAATCCTTTTTAAATATTCAATGTTTCATTTATTTTTTCATATTCATAATCATCTTAACCTAGATCATGAATCTCCAAAATTCTGAATTAAAAATCCATTTTTAAGATAATTTTAAGTGAGGGCAACGTACGTATGGTATAAGTCGACTGACTCATAGAAACCCCATCCATACATAAAATAAGGGAAAAATTACATGTTCCCTAGATAGAAGTTCCACCACGAAACACCTCTGTTTGAATATTCTCTCGAACTATACTCTTTGCACCAATGTTGTCAGATTCAATTCAGAATCTTTTTCTGTTTGGTGAGAAAAATGAAACAATTCGGTATTTCGACAGATTCAAGGGAAGGCTTAAGCTTTTTTCTAAAAATTTAATATAAATAAATTGGATATTGAAATATTAAATATATACAAATAATAGAAAAAATAAAAATAAAAATAAAAATAAAAAATACTTTTATATAGCTATTTCTTTCCGAAATAGACCGAATCAACAACACCAAGCTTCGCTTCGTTTCGAGTTATACCTAAAATCCGAAGACTCAAGCCTCTTCGGTCGAATTTGATAACATTGCTTTGCAATGGCGTTTAGTTTCTCATTCGCCTTGCCTAGGTCACTTTTTCATATTCTGTCCCTTTTCTTTTAACCACTGCCCCCAAAAACCTGAAAAGTGCAAAACCGTGTGGGAAAACTATCCTTCCAAGCTCCCTCTCCTTCCCTCTATCATTTCAAGCTCCCACTCCTCCTATTTCTCCTAAAAAATTGTAGAGGCCGGTCCGACAGTACGAATATTGGACCAGCCCTTCTACATTTTCCAGAATGCATTTGTTCCATGTTCGCACCGGCTTTTGGCTTTCAATAAAAACTCTACTCTCGTCTAACTTTAGGGAATCTAATGTTTCAAATATCAATCCAACTCAAATCTGCCCTCTAAACCCGCCCTTGAGTTCAAGACAACCAAAATAAAATAGATTAGAAAACTGATCCGATGTTTGTAATATAGAATGGGGGGATTAAATTACAAAAAAAAATGCAAAAAAGTAGGACGGCCACGTATTTTTTTGGAAAAAAATAGGATATTTCGTAATGCTGGAAAAATTTTCCAATCTATATCTAAGTTTTCCTCTATATTATTTTGAAATAAAACGAAGTAGGTTTCAATTAAAGAAAGTTTATATAAGATGTGTAAGAAACCCATCTGAACAGGTTGTTCCCATGTTGAGAAACATATAATTGATCTCAAATTGTATGGTTATAGAAAAAACAAGATTTCAAATGTTAAAAATAGTATATTTTGCAACATATTATTTAAACCATCTATTTTTTAAATTGTAAGTATTTATAGATCTCTATGCCAGTTTTTAGCAAAATTAGAGGTGCATACTTTGCTTGTTTAACGTTGACACCCTATACAAACCAAAGCTACGAAGATCCGACCTAACTCGCTATCAGATTGGCAAAACCGGTTACCAGATTTGTGTCTAGTCCAACACAATAGTTTAAAAAACGGATTGGTGCCCTGGATCAAGTATCAAACACCCATCTGGATCGGTGAATAGGTGTTTCCGATTGGGAATCGGTCGAATTGGTCAAATTCGGCCATAAAACAAATTAAAAAAAATAATTAAAATCATTATAAATGTTGTTTTTTAAAAATCCAATAAGAAATGATAGTACTACATTAATAACTTTTATTTTTTTGCATCAATATGTGAATATTGAGATGTTCTTCCCCTGTATGAAGATTCTTATTAAACATTTATTAAAACCTAACTAAATACAATATTATATATTGAAATTAGAATTATTGGTTTGTATTTTATTATTCTATCATCATGTTACTATAAAAATAAGAATAAATTTGAAAATTGTCTTATAATATCATCTAATTAAAAATCTACCTTACGACTGTAACAAAAAATAATACATTGCATAATTTCAATGTAAATAAATTAATAAATCAAATATAATATTTGATTATCATTGTAATTAGTATAATTATTAATTATAATATTATAATAAATGTGATTTAAAAAATAAGGGTATGACCCTCACAAATAAATAAATCTAATATATAATAATTAGTGTTGATAGAAATATAGAATTTATTAACATAAATTTACAATCATATTTTAATAAAATTAATAAAATAAATAAAGAAATTCACCTTTACAATATGAGATAATTGATAAAGCAACTTGAAATAAATTCTAAAGTGGTATGAGCTAGTATTATTTTTCTCTATTAAAATATTCCATAAACTAGTTTTTTATTTTAATGTTCAATAAACCAGTATTAGTATTATTTTTTGTTTTTTTTAATATCCTACCAGTTATTACAAATTTTTTTTATCACATTTAGCTAATAGCCTAATACTATTAGTCTTTTCTTTTTTTTGGATAGTAAATTTAAATCTTTTTGGTGAATGATAGGGGTGGTGGGCTATATCAACCCATTATTATTTAAAATAATTTTCCTCCTCTTTAAATTAATATTCCTAAATTCTTGTAAAAGACCACCATGTTATAAAAGAAATTAATATAATTTTGCCATTTTTTTCTTGGTTAAAAAATATATCTAACAATAGGCATTGATATATGTGTGTGAGAGAAAGAGAAAGAGCTAATGCTCACAGCTTCCATAGGGTCTAATGACAAGATGAATGGGACAAAATGTCACACATCGAACATGTAGAATAAGTTTGACATGTATAACAACCTCCTCATTAGCGCTATCATGTGCACCCTTGAAAAGCATGAATGGTTGATAAGGGCTCATGTTCTTGGAGACCGTGAATGACAATAGGGGCACTTGGCCCAAGCAGGGGCATGTAGGACAAGAAGCACTTGTGGGATTGGGGTATGTGGCCCTAGCAACTGGGCATGTATGACAAGAAGCACTTGTGGATAGTGGCACATGGCCCAAGAAGCTGGGCATGTAAGACTTGTCCCACTTGTGGGATAGGGGTATGTGGCCCAAGCAATAGGGCATGTAGGACAAGAAGCACTTGTGAGATAGGGGCACGTGGCCTAAGAAGCAGGGCATGTAGGACTTGTCCCACTTGTGGGATAGGGGTATGTGGCCCAAGCAGCAGGGCATGTAGGACAAGAAGCACTAGTGAGATAGGGGCATGTGGCCCAAGAAGCAGGGCATGTACAACTGGGATAGGGGTATGTAGCCCAAGCAGCAGGGCATATAGGACAAGAAGCACTTGTGAGATAGGAACTTGTAAGATAGGAGCATATGGCCCAAGAAGCACGAGATAGGGGCACATAGGACAAGAAGCACTTGTGAGATAGGACAATAAGCACTTGTGAGATAGGGATAGGGGTATGTGGCCCAAGCAGCAGGGCACGTAGGACAAGAAGCACTGGTGATATAGGACAAGAAGCACTTGTGAGATAGGGGCAGGTGGCCCAAGAAGCATGAGATAGGGGCACATAGGACAAGAAGCACTTGTGAGATAGGGGCACTTGGCCCAAGAAGCAGAGCATGTAGGACTTGTCCACCACAGTTGCCCCAATTTTTAAAGAAATTACAAAATTGCCCTTCTGATTTAAAAAATTGATAAAAATGTCCTCACGACTTTAGAAATAAATGAGTGACGGTCGGAACCGTTTTGTGGTTGGATTCAGAACGGTCTAGCCAATATTTGATCCAGATCGATTCTTAATCGAATCGCCGACTTTTTGAACATTGGTCCAACATCCATTGAACCCATATTTCTTACGACTGGTTGTTGATTGATTGAAGTTTTTGTTTGTTCTCTTGGATGAACCTGCCCGATCTTATCCCCCACTTGCTATTTTTTGACTGAGTTTTTCCTTTTCTTTTATCTTTTGCATTTTGATTGTACATGATATTTTAAATTCAAAATCTTTAATCAAAAGATCTCAAGATTTTGGCAAACATCGTCACCCTAAATTGTTGAAGGGAAATTTTTTCTTGCCTATCATTTTGGCATGCATTCCTATTTAGCTGTATTTTTCTTTTTATTTAAAAAATTTCTTTCAGGAACCACTTGTCTTAGCTGTCTTTAATGGGGATAAAGGCGCAACTGGTTCTTCTTCGTTACGCACTTCAACTTTACAAATAATTATGTCATGGGTTATATTAAGTTTTGCATTATAATCATGTAATTTAGTTAATTTTAAATGCTCCAATATTTAATTTTTGCAGATGTTGGAATTTTCTATGACATTTTTAAAAGATTCTTCTATTTTTGACAAAATTGTCAATGGTTTTACCTAAACATTTGTTTTATTGAATTTTTAAAATTTAGACAAATTTTGATATATATATATATATATATAGAAAAGCCACTATGCAACGCCTATAGGCGAAATGCTACAGTGATTTCACCTCTAGGCACATCGCCGTCTATTTGTTTCGAGCAACAATGATTAAACAACGCCACGGATGTAGCATGTTGTGGCGGTACCGTCACGGGCATAGCATGTTTGTGACAATCGAAAAAGCACATGAAACTGCCATGGACATGATGCTGTCCATTTTGGCTCCGTTTAATAAATCACCAAGGACATGCTAGGTCTGTGGCGGGGTAAAACACTGTCCAAAATCGCCTATAGGTACTGAT